AATTAGGTCCACATCTGTCACCAGGCCGAGAAGACATATAGCCGTTTCAAGTCGACAGGAGGAGTAGATGGAAAGTCCAGAACGAAGGATTTGATCCAACCAATTTCCTGGATGTGCTGCAGACTCTACTAGCAATTCTCGTAGATGTGAATTCTGCTGCGCTGAAATGATAACTGATAGGGCTTTATAACGAACGCAGTGACCTGTGGCTTGACGAAAGAGAATGAGGTCGAGAATGAGTTTGTTGAGTGCATAATCCAATGTCTTTTTGTCCTTCTCCAAAACCCAAGCACTTATGGGACGCGCTGAATGCCAAATCCGATTCATGAGACTCACTAAAAGAGGGTTAGTCTTATCCATCAACTCTTCCAGTTGGGATAGCATGGAGAAATGAAACTTCTTTGGTGGAGGTAGCAGGACACACGGAACTGATATGTTTGATGTATAGTTGTTCATTTTTATCTGCAGACCCCTGGGTGGTCTCATGATCCAACTTCGACGACCCAAAGTGGCGCTTGATTTCTTCAAACCAGTGTGTAGAATCGCTTGCCGAAAATAGGGGCTCTGGCGTCCAGCGATCACACTAGCTGATATGTTGTTCAAACTGGATTGGTAGGGACACAAATCCGGAGCTGTATCACGCAGTTGTTGTAGCAAAGCCCCAAATTCCATTTTAATACCTCCAACATTATCCTTTCCCTCCATAACACTATTCTTGACAAAGTCTTCTGGATCTATCGAACTAACAGGAAGTACGGTTTCCAGAAAGTAGCAGTACGAATCTTCCGGCCTTTCAGCATTACGACAATCGAAGACGAACTGTTCAGTGAAGATGTTCTTCATCGGCTTCTCGATCGGTTGATCGCTTCGGCGATTTACGTCTTGAACCAGAGGAAGGATTTCACGATGAGTGGGGAGTACAGTCTCGTTTTTTCGAAGAAGGGTTTTTAGCATAACCAGACATCCTTTGAGAACACCTTCCACGGTAGCCTCAACTAGACTTTCGTCAATATCGCTGTTCACGGAGACGTCTGGAGAGTCACCTTCTGAGGAATAGATCTGTGGAATGCGTTTGATCACTTCACGAGAAAGTGTTCCTATAGCTATTGGATGCTCTTGCTCCACAATTTCGGAGTAGATTCTCTGTCGAAAGCTATTTGTGGAGGGCGCAAGGCCGTAGGTACTGCGGACTCTCATTAGAGACAGTGGAAGTCCTCCTTCTGTATAGATTCTCTCCATTTCGCTCATTCGTCTCAATAGTAGACGCTTTGTCCTCTTCGCCGGAATGGGTGGGTAAGTGGTATGCGTCTGGAAGAGATAAATTTGTATCTTAGTAACTAATGGCCTTTTAAAGAGTTCTAAATTTAAAATGACCTACCTCAAGAGAAGTAGCAGTACTTCCCGGCTTTTCATTCTCCGTAAATGAATTCGACTTTTCTCGCTTCCGTTCAACATTTTCAAGTTTTTTAAGTCTGGCTCGAGCACCCTTTCGCTCCTCCTCCGTCTTCACAATGAACTCCCCGTCTTCGTCAACTGAGATGTCGGTATCAAAATCACTGGAAGAGTAGTTCAGCGGTCCTGAATAATCGTCACTATCAGTGCCTTCATCACCACTTTTCATCTCCTTTGAACCACTCATCTCGCTAACATGGTGCAAGGTACTCCCTGACTCGCTTTCAGAGCAACTGAATTTAATTGGTTGAAGCGTCTTTGCACCAGGTGTCTTTTGGAAGGCCTGACGACTGAAACGGGCACGAGGTTTTCGTGGCATAATCACATAGGCCTCCAAGTCGTCAATAACAGCCAAATCCAGTGGAAGCGTGAAGGACATACTCGAAGAGCCCGAGATAGAGAAGAAATCCGAGGAGAGACGCAGATTTTCTTCCTTCGTGGAACTAAAGGCTTTCTCTGACGCCATGGTGTTAAATTGACTATAGAAGCGTTGCCATGACAGAGTCACCTCGTTCCCACTCACTGACCAACGATGAATACCAACTGCCTCATTTCCAAACCACTCACAGCAAATGGAGACATGAAGAGAAGAGAGGAGGCTCAGTCGATGATGTATGCTGGGCCCGGGGATAGATTTGATGGATCTCCGCCCATAACCACGCATGCTGCGTCCTGAAACAAGAAAAAGTGGTGATAGCAAAAGTCAAACAACCAGTACTTACTTCCCTCTTCCACATTACGCGTCGGGATCCCGAAAGCATTGATGCTCCAGTCGCCTCCACGCAAGGCTGCCACAGTTTCATAGAATAGCTCATATGCGTCTCGCTCTCCACGCCAATTCTCTTCTAAATGTCGAATAGATCGAGCGAAGTGCTTCTTGCTAGACCCTCGCAACTGTTCCGTGGTTTTCTCATAAGTTGACTGTTCTTTCAAACACTGCAAGGTCACTCTAGGTGACAAGGTAGGCTCTAGCAACTTTGTTGCCTGAAATCGAGATCGTTTTGGTGATGGACAGGAGTCTAGACCTCTTCGTGCGATGTCATTGTCGTCGACTTGCATTACGTTATGCTGACCACTAACTGCTTGCGGCCGTCAAAATCGATATTTTGTTTGACCTGCCATAACGTGTTATTCATGTGGAGAAAAGTCCAAGGTTATTCGAATGGTGTTAAAAGTAAAATCCGCGAAGAATTCTGTGCTCAAATTGCGCTTTCACAGTTTATGTCGATCAAGAAATTGAATCGGTGTGAAAAGATAGCTCGAGCATCAAATTGGTGGGAACTTGAGAGAAAAACAATGAGTCCACTTTTTGCCACAAGGAAGGGTGATTGTTGTGGGCGCCTGCATCTACAGAAGGGCTTCATTCTCAAGTTTTAGTTATTATTATCTTCCCTCCTCTCTCATAAAGAAGAAAACCCTCTTAGGCATCCTCGAGTTGTGTTGGGCCGGATGGACAGATAGATTTCAAGTGCATCTGTTGCTTAACCTTCAACAAGTGATCAGTTGCGTCTGCAATCCACCACACCCACACAAAGTCTAACCACGGGGACATGAATCGGTGCGTGAAGTGCCCTAGTAGTCAGTGTCAGTGTGGGAGGAAATGCGATAGGATGGGGTAGTACAAGTTTTGTTCTGGGACAACCAATCCAATCCACTGAAACATAAAGGACAAAAAATCTCGCCACCAGACATTTACCAATCCATCTCCCTGTCTGTGTGTAAGCGTCAACGAATAATCCAAAAATCCACATCACGTTCTCGTAAGAATACCACAAAAAGTTGTGATACAAGTGGGCACCATAATCAAGGATAGATACTCCTCCTGATCTCGATACATCCACCTTTGACTGGCTCATCATCAGGCATAACTGGTTTTTTAATGTGAACTATTGTTTGGTGGTACGTTGATCTGCCACGCCCTGCATACCACATACCGCAACACATATGACGAAACACATCAAACATAAGACTCAACCGATAAAAATGAACAATCACGCACATTTTACAAGTCCCTAGAAGTTACAACAGATTATTACAACAAACAGCAGCGAAAAATTCACGGCATATTTGTGAATGAAAGAAGGAAAATCGATTCCACGACCTCCACTCCTGCTGCATAGCCGATTACGCTCCACTCGATGACTGATGTGTTGGCCACCAAAGAGGGGCTAAAACGGAAAGTTATGCCACGTACTTTACAAGACAAATTTGATGGGAAAATAAACTCCATGCAAAGTAAATGACAATACTCACTAGACCACACATCACCCTCACGAACAATTGTGCGCCTCTTCGCCTCCGAAGACGTACCACTACCATGGAGGTTCACTATTAGCTTATCGAAGGGCTGCCAGATTACCGACATGGGCGGATCGTGGTGGACAAGGACCATACCCACTGGATTCATCTCAACCATAACTCAATAAGAACTAAGAGGTAAAAAATCGCCATTGTACAAAATTACGCTTTATTTTAGGTCTACTAGGTGTGTATACAGGTAGTATAGGAAAGGAAAGAGATGATCGTCTTAGGAGAGAAAGGAGGGAGGGAGCTAAGAAAAGTGGCTAGACATTGGAAAAAGCTTGATTTTTGGACAGAGATATAGAAGTAGTAGCTACGATTCTCCGTTTGTAGTTGCCGTATCACCGTCTGGTCGAATAGGGTCATTGTGCTCACACTTCTGCGGGGACTTGGGCTCTCTATTCACAACCCGCAACGTCCGTTCCTCCACCATGGATAAAGACGCCGCTGAAAGGTAGGAAGAAAGACGTGTTAGGGGACCCTATTAGTGTCATCTTGTTAGCTTACTGAAGGAGCATAAGCTGCTATCGGTGGAGCTAATTTGAGTATCGGAGAGTAGTCAAAAGTTTTGAACACCCTTCAAGATCACCTGCCAGAAGACAATTTCACATTGAACAACTTGTTGTGTCGTGTTCACTTTTCACTAGCTATACCATTACACTGATTAGTTTTACGAAAAAGTTCAGAAATTTAACAGAACAGACGACTTCTGAGATTTCACACATGCCTTAGAAATGCGCGTGTGTCCAATCCCAACTTGTACCAGTCGGCACACAAACCTTCCAGCCCAGACAAAGTTACTCTAGACAACCGACACAAGACCAGCGTGTGCGTACATAAAACAGCGTGTACGGAGTAACGAAGAACCTTAGCAACTAAGGCGTACAACCCAAAGACGGGAAAGTCGACTCGTGTCTACGGATGACTTCAAACACAACACAGCGCGATGGGGTGCTCACCCACTTCCTTACCAGTAAAACGTTCAAACGCCACACACCTGACGTGTAAATGACAATTACAGACACGGCATTTCCGGTTCCACAGCCTTGATATCCAGTCAGCTCGTTGAACGCCAACTTAACCCTGTACGACTGAACAATTCATAATTATTTGGAATTTAACGAAATCGCATAGGAGATTACTCTTTCTGTCAGAACGGTGGGTTCATCTGCAACTTTGACAATTCAGCTCGCGTACGGCAAATATCAAGATACTTTCCCGAAGTAAAATATCCCAGTATGAATCAGTTATGTTGACAAATTTTTCTGCGACGAGGTTAGATCCTGCGATAAGTCCTCCTTGTAATCCATACTTTCCTTTCAATACCGTCGACAGTCACAGTAAACGGCAAAAAGAACCTATATTTCTAACATTCTTCCGCGAAATATACAGCTAAAAAACGCAAAGCCTTTTGTCCAGCTAGTTTGGCCACATGTGACAGATAGAGATTTCCAGTTTGTTGTCAAAAAAACTCTTGTTGACTACCCAAAAGAACGCACCTGCCCGTTAATAATGACGGTTTCTTCTTGAGAAAAAAAGGAAATCACAATAGAGCTAGCCACAACCATCAATCATTTAATAGCAAGAAGTCAAGTTACATCTAGCTGTATTAACGTAGCATGATAAATAAAGTCAACAGAAACAAAAGGAGGTAAGCCTCGGTAATCCTAACAAAAGCGGAGATTATGGAGTGGTCCTTAAACAAATGCATTTTTATGACGAAAGAAGCACTAACAGGACGAAATGTAATTACCAGTGCAACAATAAGCTACCAGGAAGTACTGACCAAAAATGCAAAAAGGTAAGACTAACCATTAGAAGTACAAACTTGGATGCTAAATAGGAGTAAATGGGTGGGATGCATTCACCGTCCCTGACCGCTACTCAGTTACTTTCAGCCCATCCCCTACTTTGGTCTTCCATCATCCTAGGTCTACCTGATACCGTGGTTTATCAAAACTAAAAAACGCACCTTTAGCAGCCTCAAAAGCCTCCGGATTTTCCATTTGATGTCGCTGCACTAATGCGGCTACAATGGAGGGATCGACAGACCGATACAACTGCCGCATCTCTGCATCCGGCAAGGTCGGCGCCACAAACTCCACCCTTTGACCCTCCTCTGACGGCTCCGGTCGATGCGTCTTTCGATTCACTGAGTATCGTTTTCCTGATCTGGGTGCCTGCAGGGGTAACTGGGACTGTGACTGTTGGGGCGAAGGTTGCGACTTTGGCACTACCACCGTCGATGCTACTCGACCCCAATTCCGAGTAGTGTTGAAATTATGGAAACCACGCCTAGCGTCACCTTCAGCGTTAAAAAATCTACGACTAACTCCACGACCCCTACTGCCTCGACGCTTCCTGAACTCTTCCACCACTACCACTTCCTTCTGTCCTTCGTGAGGGGTAAAGCCACGAGCCCTACGACCTCGTTGAATGATTGGATGGCCCTTCTTCGGTGCATCTTCTAAGCTTCCAGCGTCTACATGTAGAGTAGAGGCGTGACCGTCCGTCTTCGAGCGTTGGTGCAGATTTTCTTCGCGTTTTGGGTCATGGAAACGACTACCCCCTCTCCGATTTCGATTCCGATAATTGTCACGCTCTTCCAATGCGGGAAAGTCTTTTGTGGTGAAGGCGGCAACATCATTGTGCGAATTAGCGAACCCCACTCCCCTTCCCCGTGCCTGACTCCGTTTCCAGGAGCCGCCAACAACGTGGCGCGATGTGACCTCCTGAGTGGGGTCAAGACCGTACTTACGAATGTCATAGCCATAGCGACGGATTATCTCCTCAGTGGTGCGCGGACACTGCTGCTGCTCTATGTAAAGATCGTGACCCCACCGCTTCGCCAGTATGCCCGAACGACGGGTTGAGGCTGTCTCCGATGCTGGAGTCACTTTCACTTCGCCAACATCATCACCGGATTCATCGCGAGCATCATGGAGGTAGAAGGCCCCCTCGCGCGGCACGTAAGTGGGATCTCGTCGATTCACTGGGCTGTCAGAGTTCTTCTTCTTTTCCTTTTCCTCATGGGTACTCATGGTGTCATCTAGACCTCTCGTGGAATCCAGCACCTCTCTCTCACTGGAGGTTTGAGAAGCCCTATCGTCTGTGTAGTAATCTTCTTCCTCGTCTTCGCCTTCGTTTCCATCCCCGTTCTCGCCTTCGACTTCACTTTCGTCTTCATCTTCCGAATCACCACCATCACGTCGTCGCAAACGCATCGCAAGATCATCATCATCTGAAGACTCGGTGTCTGGCTGATTTACTTCCTCCTCGCCATCATCCTCCGAGAAGACGGTTTCCCCCGTCTCGTTAAGCACAGACTTTTCGTGCTGCAGCGAAGTGACAGAGAGAAGAGGAGTAGCGGAGTTTTCAGTAACCCCTGAATCCACCTTGTCTGTGCCCTTTGAACCCATCCGGTTGTCGCAGAAGGACGCCTCACCAGTCTCCTCACAACGTGTCGTCTGCTCAACCACCTGTCCACTACTGGCCTGCCTTTCAGACGAGGTGTCTGATTTTTGCGTCTCCTTAGCTGGTGGAGGCGCACTACTTGGAATCGATGATGCTTCAAGACAGCTATGTTGGTCGTCGGCTGATTTTTCAGTTGTACGTTTTTTCTTCATTCCAAAAGCTAGACGGAAATACACACAAGGACACATACAGATCTGCGCCGAATACCGACAGCTTGAATGGAACTTTCTTGCAAACATGAAAGTCAAGTTGTTTGCATGTAATTTTAAAAGGCCTTAAATTTTACAAAAAAAATTCAGCAAACATTTAAAGCCGGTGCAATTAACAAACCTATTCCAATGCAAAAGCATGAGAAAAAAGGACGCTCAAAGGCAGCAATATTCAAAAATGTCTCGTCAAACAGATATATTATTTAAACTTTTAGAAATGATAAATCAGAACTATCGGTAAATGCCGCTAGGCAATCGACGTCTCCAACAAAAGTTGTGCCCATATATTAGAAAGACTGTGAGGTACGAACAACCGTCTAGCTTTAAACAGTCCTATATTATTAAACGAGACTTTAAACTGCAAATCAGACGCTAAAGCTCATCATGATTTTAACACGTACCTCACTCGCGGCTCCGTTGCGATTACGTATAAAATCACCTACTGCATCGAAACCGATGTGACGCGGCGGTACAGTGCTTGGGTTAGCCATTCTATGCCCATTTACTATAGCTTCCTCAAGACCTATGTGCTTGTGCTTTCTTCAGGAATAAAATAGTCTCAATACTCTATCCCTTAGATACAATACGACTAACTTTGCCGGTGATTCATGAAAAAGGTACACCGAAATGGATCAGCCGGTCACTGAGGAGAAGGACGCTCTTCCTGAACAGTAGAATCTGCAGAGATTTACAATAAAAGTAGGGAAACTACACCTTCTTAAGGTCACGATATTGTAGCAATTAAGAGTAGTGCACTTAGATTTGGACCACAAAACGGTAGATCACGGATTTGTCCTTAATTTTGTAGCTGACAAGTGGCACTGTCTAACAGAAACCAGTAAAATACACGGGTCCAAAAAGGCATTAATAAGGATAAATAAGTCTTTGAATCCAGTGTTTAAAATGAAAGCGACATGAGGCAAAAAAAGTGGCCCCAAATTTACCGCAAGCTTCTTCAAAAATGTTGACGGAAAAAATGGTTAAACAATTTATGGATCAAAAAGCTATTCATACACAGAGGTGACTACACACAAGTTTACTAAAAATGAAGATTTGTTCACCAACGTTTATTAAAACATTTTGCAAAAAAGCACAAGCAATATAAATAACTATGTACGAAAATAGTAGTTGAACACAAAACACACGTTTGACACTCATGAGGGACAGCATATAAGGCACTTCTAGTAAAATAATAAGAGAATGCGATACTAGGCTTAAATATGACATAGCTATCTGTACGAAATGGCCGGAGTCTACCTGAAAGTCAAACCCCTGCAAGAGACACCAAATAAGGTTAACCAATCAAACTCGTTGCAATTGTTTTCACAATCTTACAGCCTTGATTAATTAAAATCAACGGATTTACTGAGCACAAAATACCCACAAAAGTACCAATAAATTACTATGGGATACGCCATTTACAAATATAGTTCATGCTAACTTTATTGGCGATGTACACACAGATCTTTCATCTAGAGGACTAACGATACTTCTGTCTGTTTTGTTTTAATGAAGGCGCTGTTGCACCAGAGATGTAGGTCCAAACATGATTAAGTTTTGGAATGCTTATTGGGAATTTCCCAACCAGTAAACTTAAGGCTAAATAGTCATAAATCATCAAATACTTTTCTGCTCCGGATCTTTTTACTTTTTGGGGCTTTCTTCTGCCTCGTTCCCTGCGAGATGTAGTGAGACCTGAAACTAATTGAGAAAGAAATTCAAGGAGATTATGGCAGATTTGTACTGTAGAAAAGTGCCCTCTATTAGCAATTGCAATTGTCGGCTGATTGCTCCCTATTTCTGAATGTCACTTATTATGAAGTCAAATTTTTACACAGCAGCATTTAAGAGTCCTGATGCTGATCCACTTGGAGTTCTTATGTATAGCCTGAAGTTGGAGAATATAAAAGTAGACACCTTTAACGCCATGTCAATGAACTGCCAATGCTTCGGCCATTTACAAGGGGTCTAATCATCCTGTGGCGTTGCAATTTTGGTAATTAGTCAGTGAGACTAAAGATATTCTTTACTTGAGCCGGGTTCGCTCACCGTCTAATCTTTGAAGTTATGATACAAAGTGTCAATAGAGAATAAGGGTTAACTAACACCTTACGAAAGGACTGGGACTAAGAGCCGCATGCCTCAGAGAAAGAATATTTAGTGAATGCGAATTCTACTTTAACAAAGACTATATCTAGATTTAGGTGTATGTTGAGTAGCATAACTTAAAATAAGTCTACTATGTAAGATTTCAACAATAATTTTACCCATTTTCAGTAGTAGCTCTTAGTCTTGCAGAATTCAATAATTGAGCAGGAAGCATTAGCTTTGTATGAGGAATACCAGCATTCTTATGTGTAATACGATAATTGTTTAACTCTCAGTTTTAGTGGAGATCCACTTTTGACTTGGTCATTGTAGTAGCTGGCCTTCTCGCCTTGCCGGAAAGTCTCGGACTGTTACACTGGTGGCAGCGAAAAGCGAATTTATCTTAGAGGACATCTAACCTATTTTTACTGCTAGATAATAAATCCCAGCGGGGCGGAGGAAGTGCATATTCTGCAGATGGGAGAATGTGATGACCTCAAACAGCAGGGCTGAAGTCGACGTCTACCTTCGGCATCTACCCCAGTTCCATGTTCAGCAGGGAAGCCATTAACAACTGAAGCAACACTGTCTGTGAACCATGCGGTGGCTTCGTCATAGTCTTCTACCGTATCCGCATATAGCTGTTGATAAAGTGAACTTGCGATACCTCTTCCATTTCCCTACTAGCTGGATAGAGTCTGGATAGATATGACCGGGCAGATGAGAAGTGGGAACAACGTGGCAAGGAGGAACAGATGCGAAACCCTCCCCCTAATGAACCTGTGTTAAATCTCGTCCTTCCTTACACTAATCTGCTTTTGTGTCAGTGTTCCTACATCTATCTATGGGCACACATGATGGCCAGCACAACCCTCTGTTCCTGAATCCATTCCTCAAACCGGACGAAATTCCATTGCCAGTTGAATTGTCAATAGGGATCGGTGACGTTGCTGTCAAGTATCACCTCGGATGCATAGAAATTCGATGGTCGCACCGACTACGTTGTAACGGCTGACGCGGGAGGTTGACCAGATTTAGCGCCGGAGACGACACTCAAAATAGGAGAGAGGCTATGTAATACGTTGATTGGTTATTTAGCGGTCGGTCCTAGTAAAGGGCTACTTTGTGTCTTGGCCGTGGTGCCTCGCCGGGCGGGCAGGTCCCCAAACCATGCTGGTAGCTTAAATATCTTTTGTGCGTCGAGTGTATATACTCTGCCTGGGTATTAGATCATCTATCGTCTTCGGGGAGGTTTCGGGACGCTGAACATAAACGGCATTACTTGCCGATGTTAAACAAGGGCCTCTAGTATTCAACTGAGGCATTTTATTTAAAAATGCAATCAACGGGTTAACATAACAGTAGAGTAGCTCTAAAGATTTTTGTCAAATTCTTTAAACCTTCATGACTCATCATACATAAATTGCATAATTGGAAATCTGTAAAAAATAAGTTCTGTCATAGCAATTCAATATCAGGCTTCTGGACGTAGGGATAAAAATAAAAGGCAGGATATCTATAGGACAAAGATGTAAAATTTCTAGCAGTGCAAAATGGGATTCCTGACATTTAATAAACATTTAAATAAAAGCAGTTGTGTTATACACATCTCATCATACAAAGATGCACAAAAACCTTTTAGTTGCCAAAAACTCTTGCATTTTTCTCACCTAAGTAATAGGGTTCTTCTTTGTTTAAATTTGCAGCCCTATGATTACAACTAATTAAAACTCTTTTAATGAATGTCTGTAGCCAATACGATAATGAATCGCTTCACCCAATGGCAATGACGTTTTGAGGTTATTACTAACCAATCAAGAAGGAGATTAATGTTGATTCGTGTTTTTTAGCCGATAATAAAGCAGTTCGTGGGGTCGGTTTTATTCAGTAGAGGACTTTGCTTTCATAATTCGGGTAAAGGTCTATTTCACTGAAGTGGAGATGTTTTATTAACTTTACTATTTGTCCTAACATGTCGGTACTTTCACACAAATTTTTGGAGTCATGCAGGGTTTGTGTACACTTTTAAAATTAAAACGAGTGATTTTATCGGGCTTACCTTGATATCTGTGAAGATCTGCCATTGTTTTTTATTGTTTACCCATTTATTTGCTATTATAACTTGTCTAAGTAGCATAGTACTGCCAGGCTTTACCGACGTCGTACTTGACGTGTATTTGAAGTCGATTTCCTTACAAGATACGTTTCAGTCATCATACATTTCTAATGTATTTTTGAACACTTGGGTTACTGTTTCTTCGAGATAAGAGTATGCGCTCGTTTGACAAAATAACTGCTCCCTGACTTACACTCATTCGCCAGTTTTTGCTACTACCTTTACAGTACCTCAAATGGATTGTGGGGACGAGGTCGTGGACATGCGGAAACGGAGTCTCTTTCATCCCACATCCGAATTGATGGCGAATAAACGGATCAAAAGTTCCCCCTTTAGTCCAGGTGATCATGCTGATGGGGAATACATGGAAAGACAGCAAATGGATAGCAAACCGAGTTCGTCGCTGGGAGAGCCCATCAGTGCCGAAACAGAATTTTCAGAAGCCGATGAGAACGATGACTTCGCTGCTTGTGAAGACGATGGCACAGACAGAAATCAGTATCTCGCCGCCGCACCAAATCCCATGGATCAGGCTTTGCGCGAACTCATTCGGAAGTACGTTCGTGCTGATTACGTCATCCACTGCCTTGAACTCGCTGGGTTCGATTCCGCGGTGGTTTTTGCATGTCTAAATAGTGAGACTAACATTCGACAACTGGAGACCTTTGTCGGAGCCACCTGTGCTTTGATAAATTCGCAGAAAATTCGTCAATACTTTCTCGGTCCTGTTTACGCCCGACACCCGACCAATTTCAAGCTTCCTGCCGGTGTTGTTTGTGGTCTTCAATTAGCGGTGGAAGAACTGAAACGAACAGGGACCTTCACGACTTCACCCGCTGTTCCATTCAGTACGATATCAGACGCCGCTACCCAAACCGAAGTGTCTAGTCTTGGGCCGTCTTCATTAACCTCGTCTTCCGAAGGCAGTCCTCCAGATCCTGCATTCGCTAACGCCTCCGATTCCTCCCTTATTCCACCTCCCGCCCACATTTCCACAGAAAACCTCTCTTTCCATCTACCACCCCCTTCGCTTTCCACCGTCGAAAGTGACTGTAAAAGGCTGTTCGACTGCATGGGGGGAAGGTTCTCTCTTCCTTCACAATCCCAATCACATTCTCCGCATTCTAGAAGCTCTTCTTCCACTTCCGTTGATAATATCGACGTGGAAAGGCTGATACATCATTCCTCGGCCAGCGCTTGCCGTCTAGCCGCGCGACAGTTCGTCAACGCGAACCTTGTTCGCGGCCAGCATTTCGATATGGAGATGGAGGTGTCTGGAGGAGGTGAAAATGGTCAGAAAAGGGTGACAGGAATCTTCTATTGCCATCTTTGTCGGGAGAAACGCGAAAGAACGTGTGCTGTGCGGTTCTCTGTTGCGAGAAATCGCTACCCTGTGATGAGTAATGTGTTATCCCACCTCAAAACCCACTTTCAGTATCAATCCAGTGCAAATGCGGCGGCAGCTGCTGCGCCAGCTGCAGCTCCTGCCGTTGGGACGAAAAAAATTGTCCCTCCACCACCCCCTTCCGTTTCCCCGTCAGCTTTGATTGACTCCTCAGCCCCCACTGTGGCATCCACGGAGTCGCCCTTCCTTTCTCCCAATTCCTTTTGTAATCTCGTCTCCCGTGTGGTTCAATTCGCGGCATCGGCCAATCCTCTGCCAGCAACGGAGATGCGCCTACCCTCACAGGTGCCTCTGGGCCATTCTCCGTCATTGCCTTCTAAGCTGAGCTCTGTAAACTGAACTGCGTGCTTGAGTCTCTTTCCCTGTAGCTTCTATGTGTCTGTGATGATGGTGATGATGATGATGATGATTTTGATGTGGGAATCCTACCCTCGTATTTGTACTTATGCTGCACTTCTCTCAACTTCCCTACCCTCTGTATTGTCGTTTTGATGTCTGTCTTCTTTATGTATATAAAGCAGAATGCTATGCATTATATTTTTTTTTCCTTCCCTGAGGCTGCCTGGCTCCTATTTGGTGGGTCTTAGGTCTCGTGACGTTTCCACTCCTGTCTTGTGTCATTATCGTTTATCGCGCCTGAAATGCGTTGAGTTTGAGGTTAGTTTCGCCTGCTAATTTGTAACTGCCAATCATTCATTTGATCTTACCTCCTGCCCCGGACGAACTCAATCTTGCCTCGGGCGTGGTTTCTTGACGACTCCGTTCCTTTTAGAAAACGCCTTATGCATTTTCGGTTATTTCACCTTCAAAGGTCTGTTAGCAGTTCTGTCAATCATGCCTTCTTTCTTACTTGACCTAGGTTGGTGTTATTTAGACTTCCAATAGTCACCACATTGACGAGTACTAGTTTGAATGAGCTCATTTCCAAAATTTGCATCAATTTCATTTATTTACCCTCTCAGTGATTAAGTATCATTAACATGCGAGTTGATTACGAGTTGATTGACGTTTATTGCAGTTTGACAGCCATTTTAATAAGAATTTAAAAAGTTGCTTGAGCCAGTAGATGGTCTCTCTCAACTGCAGTCCTTTTGGAATTCAATTACGCCTGATTTACGTCTAATTCACTTTAATGACAAGATGGCAGGCCTTCGTTGGATTGAGGATCGCCTCATTTATTAAACCTCACCAAAATGACGCCCTGCAGTGGCAAGTCTGTTTTTTATCACGAGGACTTCATCTTTTGAAATACGCATTTACAAAAATGCATATCCCAGTGACGGAAGGGTAGTCTAGGCTCCTCTCTGCAAACGAGGAATTTTCCACCAACATAAGTCTTCCGTCACAATTTTTTTGCAGAATAAAAATAACTTAAATAGAAATAATTTAAATCCGGACAAATGCATTAAAATAATGACCCGGTCCCTGTTGGGGTGTTTAAAGACCAGACGGCGATCAGATAAGTGCATTAACAACTGATTAAGCCACGTTGATTAGTCATTCCGATGAGTCATCCACATCTCGTGTCCAATCAATGCTTACCGAGGGTAAGTTCATAGAAAATCAATAAACAAGTGTGCGGTTGTAGGTCGTCATCTGCGCGAGGTCCAATCACCACCGGGAAAATCTACGCAGGCAATTTAATCAATAACTGTGATTCAACGGTTATTTTGGTGATGAGCGAGAGGAGTAGGCATCGGTGGAACTATAATTTACGAATTCCCCACCCTCTTCCGTGTGGCAGCACAATCTTACAGCTATAATAATTGTAAATACTTAAGTCATGTGTCGTTTTATCCCGATATTGAGCAATGCATTACTGTAGCTGAAGCAAAAAGGAATTGAAATACCTTAAGGAGGTGGACTATAATTGCTTAATCTTTTGCCATCACCTGTCGACTTGGAACTGGCAAGTCTTCCCTACTCAAAGGTCAATAACAATCAATAAAAGAGCCATCTGACTTTGAAATTGGATGTGTTCAATGTTTATTTTCACTTTTTCTTCCGTGAAAATAAGTTATTAATGCATGCATACGTATAAATTAATGCCAGATGTGCAAATAACATCTGTTTATAGAAATGGAAAAAAAGGAAAACAATATTTGAAGAAGCTGTTGTATGCACCATTGCTGAGCGAACCAGGAAGGGTTCCAGTTAGGTTGATGGTTGTAAATCATGCTATGGGTGGATCAGAAATGCTGAAGTACTACGACTCCACAATAGTTTCCTTAAATACCTCACCATGACGTCAGCATCATCATCAGCTTTTTGAGCTGTAAACTCTGTATCTCGGAATGTATAAAAGTGTCAGTGGTGACGATTTTATTCCATTGATTTAGAAAGTTAGGGAGTGAAAGGCGATATGGTTTCAGATGTTTGAAAGAGGGGTTTAGGGCCTTAGACACTAGTGGTGGGACTTACAGCCGCCATTTTGATAAAAAAAAATCATGAATGCGTGGATTTAGGAGGTTCCAAACCTAAGAACTGTATATTTTTTCGTGGTTTTTTGAAGTCAGGTGGTACACAAACTAATTGGAGCTTTCTCACAATCGTCATTGGCAGCCAAGCTGCCATAAAGAGACATAAAGATGGTAGATAGCAGTGGCAGGAGTGCGAATACATTGGCACTGTGAAATAGTTGACTGATGTTGCGCGTGATTTAAAGTTCATCCTCAGACAAGATGTGAGCCATTATTGCAAAGTTGTAAATCCATCAGCTGAGGATTGCATATAGGATCTAACACAGTGTCGTCATCTACAGTTGCAGTGTTTGTACCACTGCACCACTGTCAGTGGCTTAGGCATCCATTTGACAGGTCCACTTTGCCGTACTGGGCAAGTCCAACACCCGTGATCAGGTGTCCTGAAGTCTCCGATTGTGCAAAATTGCTCAGTCGTTTTCCACCTCCATTCAGTCAATCACTCGTCCACAAATTCTTCCATTCAACCGTTCAGTTATTTGTTTAATCACTCATTTGTTCATCCAGCCACTCCCCTCATCCATTCATTCATTCTTTTGTTAGTTCAGCGAATTTACGTGAACACAAAACGCTTTTTCTATAAATATATGCAGGATTTATGGTGTTTTATCAATACAATCCAAATACATGAAATATTGGAATTGACAGTGCTTTATGAAGTGGATAATAAAACTGTAAGCCAGATGGAGGATTGGGCTACCTTATAAAAAGTCCATTTTGGAATTATAAATTGAACAATTAAATAGAAGCATGTTGTAGTTAATGTGCAACGGAGGAGTTAATTAAGTAACTAAGACAAACAAATAAAGGCCCCCTAAAGCAGGGGCATTGGCATTCCCTAAGTGGATCTATGGTCAGTGATTTCTTCTCGTGCGTCCGGCCATCCATCGCTGACCTCTTTATCCATCCTTTACCCATTCACCCATCCATAAATCCATCCCAAATCCACCCATCCTGTACCCATTTACCCATCCTTTGTCCTTCCACCCATTTTATCATCCATCTATTCATTCATTCATTTATTAATCCATCCTTTCTACATCAATTCATTCATTTATTCATTCGATCATCCTGGCACCCATTCATTTAATTAATCATTCATCCATCCATCAGGGTGAATATTTGTGAAAGCCCGGCGATGAAGGATGAAGGATGAATATATATAGAGAGAGAGAGGGAGAGCGGAAGAGAGGTTTATTCCACACCGAACATGTAGGCAAATGCAAATGACTTTGCATGCCAACCACACACGCACAACTTCTGTCCTCTTACCCCGACAAGTGTCAAAACAACGCTTTTTCTTCCTCCTCTGTAATGCAATTTGTGTATGGATTGCAAAATCAACTTTACCTCTGGGTAAACATCTCCTGCATTAGAATGCAAAGGCAGCCGTCTTTTTAGACGGAAGTAGTCAAATGACAATTTTTGGGAGGGCCATTTGATGATGCTGTCTTTTACTCTTCCTCCTCCTCCTCCTC